TTTTTTTTTTTTTTTTTGTTGTTTGTATATCTTTTGTTGATGGGGGGGGGGTGCAGGGGGCGCGTGATGGGGGGTGCATGCAAGGGGAACGGGGAGTTGACGTGAGTAACAGTGGATAAGGGCGATGGGTCCTCGCCACGATGCGCCCGCATGTCAAGACGTATTTAACACGTGCCATCCTTGCTCACATTGCGCGTGCACCAACCAGTCCAGAGGCAAGCACTGATTGGGGAATGGGCGGTAACACTGCACGTGCACACGTGGAGGTATAAAGAGGAGGCCGCATGGGAGAGGAGGAGGGTGCGCTTTGCACATCGGTTGCGGTCAAGCCTCAGCGCCAGGGCGCTGGGAGCGAGAAGTGAGGAGAGCAATGGCACGTGCGTGGCGTTCCCTCAACACTTGCACTGCATGGCAAACGCTGTTTGGGGACCTGTCAGCTATGATGCGCCTTGTTTGTATGAGCGGTCGGTGGTGAGAGAAACGGGCGTGCGCCCTTTAAGACATGACAAGCACTGCTCGGGGAATTCGTGAATACAGGAGGAGGGGGGGGGAGGGCGAGATTCGGGCTGGGCCTTTTTTATCCGTCGTGCCCAGGACGTAGGAAGAAGACACGGACAGATGAGACAAGGAGGGGGGTGCATGGCAAACATTGGTTGTGAAATGCCGTAGGGGCGCGATCCTAAACTGCGCGTGCGAGGGGCTGTACATGCCTCGGGTTTCCTGAGAATGCGCCACGTCATACATGCCAACTTCAGGAGGGGAGAGAGGATGGGAAGCGGGTTGGGCCTTTTTTATCCGTCATGCCCAGGACGTAGGAAGAAGAAGCGGAAAGCGGAGACGAGGAGGAGTGAGGTTACTAAGCATTGGTTGTGGAATGTTCCAGGGACGTGGTCCTAAAGTGCGCGTGTGGGGATGCTACGGTTCTCTGGGAACGCGCCAGGGTTATGCATGCTAGCTTAAGGAAGGGGGAGAGGATGAGAAGCGGGCTGGGCCGTTTTTACCCGACACGCCCAGGACGTTGGAATAATAAGCGGGGAGATGGGGCAAGGAGGAGGGGCTTTGCCTGGCAAGCGCTGGTTGCGGAGTTGCCAGGGATTCCAAAAACGATAATTCTGGCGCGTGTACGCTATATTTGATTGAATGCTGTACCTGTCCTGGGTCTGGAATCCCGTTTGGCGCGCCAGCGATTCTTGTCAGGCTGTCAGTGCCACCCCATCCCACGATCAGTGTATCATCACCGCGCGGATTCGAGGTCGTGTGACGTGCGAGCATCTTATGTGCCATATGGTTGCTCAATGCGCGGGATAACTAACATCCGTGTACATCGTTGTGGCGATAGAACC